AATGATTCGAATAGAGAACAGAACAGAAAAGACAAAAAATTCGTGTCGAGTATCAAGTACGGATCCATAAAGAAAAGGAAGATGTCTTGTATATCAAATAATAACAAAACGTTCAATGTCCTTACATGTCAAGGTACCAATCGGAAAGAATTGATATTTCTTTTTATTCTTATACAACGTTTAATAATAATAATAATAATAATAACAACAATGAAGCAAAAAAAAAAGCAAAGCTCACAGGACAAAGAGAAATGTTCTTTTTTTTTCCTAGATCATTTAGTTGTTCGAAAAGATGAGAAAGAATTTGATAAAAAAAAATACAACTGATAGAACACACCTTATGAGAAATAAATTGGACTATACATTAAAATGAGAAATAAAAACTAATAACAACAATCGAATTAATCAGAATGATTTGCTTTTTGAAGAAAATAATCATTATCTCTTATTCGTGTTTTGTTTTTCTTTTTATAGAAATCAAAGCTAATTATCGATTCCATGTCATATTCGATGATGTACGTCGATCAGTAAAAAATGAACGAAGTAATAGAACAGTACCAATAGCTACAATTATAATTAAAATAAATTGTCCTAATGACCATATTTGTACACGTTCTTGTAAATCTTCAGCACGTGCACGACCTGTTGCTTCACGTAAACGATGATGTGTTTGATAATCAATAGATTTTTCAAGATTTTCATGTATTTTACCCACTTTTAATTCAATCTAGAATATTTTTGCATGAATATTATTTCTTACAAATTCAAAAAAAAAAGATAAATAAATACCATTGTTAATGCACCTTCAGCAACACGTGGACCTGGCTGTGGTATTTCATGTTCAGGATCTCCATCAACTTTCCAATCTATTGAAAAAAAAAAAAAAAACGAAATTCTTTTGTAATTTATTTATTTTTTTTTTGTACAAACCAATATAAATAATTTTATGAGTAAATGTTGAAAATTCATTACTAAAACAAAATTGATAAACACCATCTTCTTCAACTGTTTTTTCAAATTGATCATATTGTTTTTTTGTTTCTTTATATAGAATTTTACCCGATGGACTTTTTAATTCTAAATCAACATCATAATTACCACCTGTTACAACCTGTTAAAAAAAAATCATAAATATTTATTTTAAAAAAATTTAAATATATGCAAATTTTGCTAACAAACTTGATATTCTAATACAAATTTTGAGCCAATTTTAAGTTTATCATGAAAACATTCTTTAGCATTATCAGGTAATTCAAATGTTAATTCATTCGCATGAATTTTTTTGAATATCAATATTATACAAACTAATAGAGTATGTGATAATAAAGGTAACATTATTGACAATAGGAAAAATCTATTAGATAAATGCTTGAATGACTGTACTTCCAAAATGTATAGATGTGAAAAAATCGAATCAATCAACCAATCATATTCGGGACCACATCATCATCAACAACAACAATATATATATATATACCATTTAAATATTCTTATATTAATTGGTAAAGTTTTTATTTTATTTTTTTGTTATATAAATTTTTATAAAATATATATTTTTCATATATCATAGATTTGAATTCATTTTTTGTTTGCATTTTGATATTGATTGAGTGTCGCCACATATATTTACCTAGGCAACGAAAGAACGAACGAATAATTTCGTTAATAAACTATTGTACAAAATCTTTAGAATTAAGATAGATTATTGAAAAGAAAAAAAGAAAACTAAAATTATGCGAGAAATTGATCCATTATTTCAAGCGATGAGCTATTTTCGTCGTCGAAAATTTGAAGAATGTGTTGAAGTAACAACAACACTATTAGAAAAGAATCCAAATGATCAAGTAAGAATTTTGATAATATGAAAAATAAAAAAAATTCAATGATCAATTTATACTTGCACATATATAAAAATCAAAATGTTATAGGTTGCATGGTTACTTAAAATGCGTGCTTTAACTGAACAACTTTATGTTGATGAAACTGAAGTTGCTGATGATGGTCTTGCTGATATGTTAGATGATAATGCTTTTCAACAAGTACCTATGCCTGGCACATCATTTCGACAACCAACAGCTAATCCAAATAATGCAATGAGTGGACCAAGTCCAGCAATGAGACCTATGACTATGTCAGGTCGACCAATAACTGGTATGCTTCGATTAAATACTCAATCAACACAAGGTGGTAAAACTATGGAAAGTGTATTAAAAACTGCTCGTACAGCAGCTACAGCAAGACCAGTAACAACAGCTACTGGTCGTTTTGTACGACTTGGAACTGTAAGTCATTATAAAAAAAAAAAAAAAAGAAAATTTGATTTGTTTTTCTATATTACAAATTTGATCAATAGTATATTCTTGAATATTGAATGAATCTGTTTGATATGTTGAAAAAACTGAACTATATTTTCTAGGCTTCAATGTTAAGTACACCTGATGGTCCATTTATTCAAGTAGGTCGACTTAATTTACCTAAATATGCAAAAAATCAAGCTTTATCACGATCTTTATTTGAACATTTATTTCATCATGCAAATGATGTTCGAACGGTATGTGAAAATCAATAAAAGAAAAATCATTAATTCTTGTTTTTTTTTCTTTCTATAAAGGCTCTTCAATTAGCTACACATGCCAATGAATTATATCAAAATAAAGATTGGTGGTGGTTAGTACAACTTGGTAAATGTTATCATCGGTACATATACATTTATTAAGTTTTTTTGTTTTACTTTATATCTGAATATTTCTTCTTTTTCAGTCTAGATATGCTTCGTGATAGTGAAAAACAATATCTTCTTTCATTAGAAATTCAACCTATGGTTGATACATATTTATATTTAGCTAAACTATATATTCGTCTTGATCAACCATTATTATCAATAACTAAACTTACAGAAGGTTTAGAAAAATTTCCTCATGAACCATGTTTAATTCAAGCTATTGCACGTATTCATGAGGTTTGTTTCAAAACTTGAAAAAAAATGAAAGGATTCTGTCGAATTAGGTGATCTATTCACAGTTGAGAAACCAAATATTCCATGTTTTCTCCAGACTACAAGTTTATATATTTAGCATCTTTGATAGAAAAAAATGCAATTTTTCAATAATTTATCACTGTTTTTCGCTAATGGTAGGTCTCCATGATCTTGAATCGTGTCGACTATAGAAGATATGACCAGATGTCAAACTTTCTCAGAAGCTGCCCACGATTTAGCACTACCCAGCATACTATTTTGAAGTTCTTCAAGAAGAGTACGTGACCTCTAACATAGTTATGCATTCAGAAATCTTAACTAACTTTTAGAATAATTCGACTATTAAAAGTTAATTTTAATGCGAAATAGACATGATATTCAAAATTAGCATAACAAAGTCCATTGAATAACTTTATATTTTAACTAAATATTTTTTCTGCCGAAATTCAATTGGTATTTCTCCTCAGTCATTTTTCCTGAATTTTGCCCTGTGGTCCCCCATGGGTCTAATTTGAGCGGAAAAAATATTGAATTAAAATATAAACTATTCAATATAGTTTGTTATGCTGATTCCAAATATCATATTTATTTTGTATCAAAATCGATTTTTAATAGTCAAAATACAATATTACAAGAAGAAAATTGTTGTAAAAATTGGTTAAGATTTTTCAATGCAAGGCTGTTTTGGGTCTTGGAGAACTTCAAAATTGTTTGTTTTGTAGGATTACATCGTGAGCAATTTCTGAGAAAATTTAGTGTCTGATCACATCTTCTATGATCGACACTATTGAAGATATAGAGACTTACTATTAGTAAAGAACAGTAATAAATCACATTTTTTGTTTATCGGAGATTTTAAGTATATGAGCTTGTAGTCCGTGAAAATTTCTACAGAATTTTACAAATGATTTCGATTGATACCAAAGAGTACAATGATCAATAACTAATTATACTTTGAATGCATAGTTGATTCTTGTTTCATTCAACGTTTTTCGACTTGTTCTACAACATAGAATATTTGGTTTCTTAATTTTGAATATCTCATCTAATCCGAAGAAGGTTCTTTTTTTTTTCTTTAAAATAGTTTTATTATTGTTTTTCTTCTTTTCTCATCTAGGGTCTTAATGATATGACACAAAGTATCGAATATTATCGACAAGTACTTAAATTAGATAATACTAATATTGAAGCTATAGCATGTATAGCTGCAAATCATTTTTATAATGAACAACCTGAAATATCATTAAAATTTTATCGTCGTCTTTTACAAATGGGTGTAACAACAGCATCAATATTTACAAATATAGCATTATGTTGTTTTCATGCACAACAATATGATATGATTGTTGCTTGTTTTTTAAAAGCATTAGCATGTGCTATAACAGATGATGAACGTGCTGAAATTTGGTATAATATTGGTGAAATGGCATTAGTATGAATTGATTTTTATTATAACAATTGAAAATTTTGGTTTTTTCTTTTTTTGTTTTAAATTCTTTTTAGTATACAGCAGATATTAGTCTTGCTATACAATGTTTTCGTTTAGCACTTGTTCATAATAATGATCATGCAGAAGCATATAACAATTTAGGTTTAGTTGAATTACAAAGAGAAAATAATGAAACAGTAAAAACAAAGAAGCTTATCTTTTTTTTTTGTTTCTATTGTAAAATTAATTTCGAAATGTTCTTGTTTTTTCTTCAGGGTGAAATTTATTTACAAACAGCTCAAAGTCTTGCACCACATATGTTTGAACCATATTTTAATTATGGTAAAGCAATGTATCAGGTAGAAGAAAAAAAATTCTTTTGTTTTTATTTTGAATATGTTTTATGTTTTATTAGCAAGGTGATTTACAAAATAGTTTTCGTGCTATTAAAAGTTCACTTGATATATATAAAAATCATTCAGATTCAAAACATATTTATGATGAATTAAGAAAAATGTTTTCTGAACTTTGATGTCATGTCTTTTGTTTTTTTTTTGTATAAATTTTCAATTTTTTTACATTATTTGTAATTAGTATTTTTTTAATTTTTTAATAAATCTATATAGTTTGGCAAATATTTAACAATCATTTCAATAATAATAATAATAAAATGTTAATATGCAAAAATAATGCTTGAAGATATAATTTTACTATTCAAAATGAAATCTTGATTATTGAGTAAATTCCCTAGAGGATAGTAATCTATTGTACTTCTAATCTATTTTGCAAGTTAAAACATTGTTTATGATCAAGTTTCTTTTGTGTTATAGCTATGATTTGATTCGCTTACAAGTACAAAAATATTCAAGATTTGATAAATTAGAACTATCTGAGAACTTTAATACGAACTATGATAGTTAGCTATGAATCGAATATTAACTTCTATACTTTTCCAGTTCAGTGTTATTAGATAATCTGATTGATGCGATCATTACACGTTCATTTGTCATCAGTATTAATTGAGAAAAATATTCTATACAGCTTTGCCAAGCGACGTCATTGTTACCAAATGAGGACGTCTCATTTTTATGAAATGGATAGTTCAGATCTTATGAGTGTTTCAATGATGAACATTGTACTTATTTCATACTGACATTTGTTTTTGAATTCGAATAAACTCTCGCGTAATTTCAACCGACCATTACTCAACTTCGTGAAATATTTCATTTTTCAATTAAAGATATTTTCATATTTTTGTCAATTAAATAAAAATTTACATTGTTTCATTTCCAGACTGTGTATAATCTCATAATAGGAAGAAACTCAACAGAATAGTACTAAAGTATATCTATTTCCTATTTATCAATTCCAGAGCAGCTGTCTCTCATAAATGTCAATGCGTACATATTTTTTTCGCTCAGGAAAGAAATTCAGTTTGTTTGTTAATAGAAAATATATAGAATAAACAAAATTAGACACACCAAAGAAGTTACAACTAAACAGCGAAAAGTTTATTTACATAGCTATTTTGCGCTTGTTCGAATAGGATAAGCTTCTATTATATTTAGAAGATCATAACCTTGAGACTGAGATTCTATTCTGTGGTAGAACATCATTTAGAAGATCTGTAGAGTGTAGAATAATTTTCGTTTGAAGAATTAGCACAAATATTTGGCAATATAATGTATTATTGAAATTTTACAAACACATTTCATTCACAAGACATTAAATTTAGATGAATATATACATGTTAGACGAAAAGTTTAGAAAATGGGTGCGTACAAAAAACGCGGACACGTATTCTGAGTTGCACTTTTTGTTTTTAACTAGAATATAGCATTTTATGTGAACACAAACATCCATGGTTTACTTTGCTTTTATACAAGATATCTTACAAATAAAATCAAGCTAATCATGGATGTCCGTGTCCACAGAAAAAGGCTATATTCCAGTTGAAAACAAAAAGCACAGGTCAGAATGAGTTTTCGTGTGTGTCCGTAGGTGTTTTACAGGTACCTCTAAAGAATATGTTATTTGGTTTATTAGAAAATAAAAAACTGATAAATCTCATCCAATGATGATGAGAAATCGAAAACGACTCAATCTGGTGTGATCGATACAAATCATAACAATTCTTCATTTGTTATTATGTCATTTTTGTCCTTTGTCTCCTTCTCTCTGACGGCTATTTATAAATCATAATTATTCTTTTTGTTATCATCGTAGCGTGAAATACTTGTGATGTTGATTTTAGTATAACATTATGGAGCATATTCACTATTTTTATGTCATAGACAATAAAGCTACTTATTTTAACAAGCACCTTATAAAGTTAATCTGTACACAATACAAAAATGTATATGAGAATTGGTGATTATTCTCTTCAAATCTACTAAAAACAAATACTTATAAAATTTCTATTAAAAAAAAAACTGTTTTTCGTGTTTTTGTTTTTATGCTTTTTTTTTGATTGTCCAACTCAAAATTCTCCGTAATTCTATATATTAAATTTTCTTTCTGTTATTTGAAAGAGTGTGCCAGATGTAGAGTGTAGCACAGACACGTTTTTCAATTAAGTTTTTTTTTTAATTATATATAGAAACACTTAAATCAATAGACTTCGCTTGCCATTTGTACAGAGTTTCTTTTAGACATTGATCTTGTCACTCTTTTTTTTGTATATAAAAAGTACGAGTTCAAAAAAAAGATCTTTGTTCTACCTTGTGTCCTGACGTGTTCTTTCAAGCAAAAAATCATTAAATAATGAGAATGAGGGTTGACGAAGAAGTTTGAGTTGCCAAAAGAGCTATTTTAGATTTTCACTTGATTAATATCTTTTTTAACATTTTAACTGTTTCAATGACCATAGGAATTACATATGAGTGAAGTTTCGGATTGAAATTTTATTGTCCGATTTTTCTATATATGCCTTGTGCTAGGTAGCAAAATCAGTACAATGATCATCACTTTCAAAGGAAGCCCAAATTCTCTTAAGATTTTTCTTAGAATAATTTCCCTAACATATGGAGAAAATATTATTGAAAACAGTATGGAACAGCTGGAGACCTTCTTTTCCTCGTCAATAGAATTTAATTGATTCTTAATAAAAGAAGATAATAGGAAATGTAAATATTTATTCACACTAATCGGAAAGAATCGATACATTTATTGTTTTGTATCTTGTCTTGTTAGATTACGTACAAAATATGACATTGAATTATTTTTCATTCTCATAAATATTTATCTTACTGTTTTCAATCTACTATAATCAAATATTTGATCTGTTGTTTTTTTTTCGTGATATTAAAATTGAGAAGACAATATCATATATTCGTGACAAATATTGTTGTTTTTATTTTGTACATAATATCAATTAATTTATTTCTCAAGATATTCATTTCACCTAAATTCTATTATATTAATCTTTTGTTTTTTTGCTACATGATATTATAAACAAAAGAAAAATAATTAGATATTATTTACCGCTTCGGATTAACTCTTGTAATTGATGACGATTTGTCACAATACGATTAATAAAACAAATAGAACAAATAGCAAGTATAAAACTTGTTACAATATATGAAAGGCTCGATTTAAATATCAACATTATATAACCCATAATGATTGATGAAAGTATTTGTGATGCAAAATATGTACTATCAAGTATACCTAATATTGTACCTATTCCATATGTTTGTATTCTTTGATTATCAGCAAAATAGATCTATGAAAATCAATAACAAAAAGAAAACTATTCAATATTTAAAATAATAATTTTACTTCTCTATTAGCATGATATGTCATAACAAGTGTATAAGGTATTGATGTTAATGATGCCATACCAAGACCAGATAATGATGCCATAATATTAACAATAATTATATTTCTTGATATATACATAACCAACATAGATAAAGCAAAAACTAACATACCAAATGAAAATGTTAAATGAATACCAAATTTCTTAATTAATGGTTTAAGTAATGGTGCATAAATTGCACCAACAATACAATGAAAAAGTAAACCATATGAACCAATACGTATACCTTGATCATATTTTAAACGTTCTTCTGATAATTCATCTGCATTTGGATCACCCATATAAATTGTTTGACCAACAAAATCCGTAAAAAATATATTAAATGTCATTATTGCTGACCTATATATTTTTTATCATAAGAATAAAAAAAAAAAAAAAGATTTTTTTAAAAAATTATTTTTCAACAAACCATGAACAACATTCAGCTAATGTTAAACGACGTAAAACAAATGGCATTGTAATAATAGTTCTAACTGAATTTGATATTGTAGAAAAAATATTTTTTAAAATTTTTATAGGAGATAAATAAATCCATATATGAGTATCAATTAATAATATTTGTTCATCTGAATAATCATTAAAAGATGAATTTTTTTCATTAGCTGATATTAATGTACAACAAAGTGTTATAGAAAAAAGTAATAAAATAATAATAAATGTTAATTTTTCTTGTCCTTGCATATAATTACCAAGAAATGTTTCAGTCCAATCAGTTGCTGTAATTAAATAACCTATACATCCACCTTTATAAATAATCAAATGAAAAATTTTATTTTCTAACAAAATTTTCTTTTCTATTTACCAAATGATGTCATAAATGAATAAACAAAAAAACATGAAGATTCTTGTGATGTACCTTTACAAGTATCATAAATTAATGATTCACATGGATTAAGACAAGCTTGAGCAGCAAAATCAAATAAAACACAAGTCATTGCTAATAGACTAATACCTATTTTTGGTGCTTGCATAATTTCACCTGTAAGACAAAAAAAAAAGATAAAATTAAATCTTTAATTTTAATTTTTTTATTTTTACCAATTGCTTCACTTTGTGGAATGAGTATAAGACATAAAATAATTGTTAAACAAAATCCAACTATAAATGGACGTCGTTTACCAAAACGAGATCGACAACGATCACTAGCATGACCAATAACAGGACAAAGAAGAAAACCTAATAAAGGACCACAACCCATTAACCATGTCATTAATGATTCGGATATTCCAGCTTTAAGTAACAATGGTGGAATATAAGTAAATGCTGATGCTGTACAAAATTCTAATCCACATACAAGTGATGTTATAATAAATAAACGAAAAAAATCATCATTAATAATTGAATTAATTAATTTCATATCTGTTTTAATAACAATAATGATAATAATTGATATTTAAATAAATTCATGAAATAATCTGCACTACAAGTAAATCTTGATAAAATATATTATTATAAGTAGTGGGTACATTTCGTTTTGTTTTTTTATATTGAGCTACGTACCTATACTTTTCTTTTTGTCTGTTCTTTTATATAAGGATTGATAGATTCATAAATAATATGTGATTACGCATGTACAATTTAGTTATAAGGAAAAAAAAAATCGATGGGCTTATAATAAAAAGAAAAGCGATAAATATGTCGCAGCTCACTGAGATACTTCGATGAAAATAAAGAATACGATGTCCATCAGACAGCGAAAGCAAGAAAGAAAAACGCATAAGCGACTCTTTGTTTATACTCATGTTGTCGTTTTTCTTTTTTTTTTCCTTCCTTTTCTGTCAAACAAATCATAAATGTATTGGCAGTACATTCGAAAAGAAGCTAATAAATACAACTCTCGATTGTAGTCATTCTGTGTCAATAAACGTTTATTTCTCATTTTGCTTATTGTATGCTTCATAATGCTCTTCTGAATAAGCATTCATTTATATGAATACACCTGTATATGTTCCATCAAAGGCAGTCTCAAAGAGAAAAAAACAAACTCGATACGAGTAAATCATATCGCGTACTATCAATGTCACACATTATTTTCGTCGTTAATCTGTTACGAGTAACGGTAATGAAAAGAAAAAAGAAGAAACGAACAGAACTAATCCTGTTAGTAATAGAAGTATGTACGAAAATCAAAGAGAAATTTTGTCACGACTAAGTCTTTTATTTCATGAAAGTAAAATGATAAATTTTGTAAGATAATACAACATTTAGAATTCTTTTTTTTTTTTTTTTTGCTTCAAAAATCTCTCTTTAGTCTCATGAATATGGTGTATATAGAGCATTGTTTGTTTGATTTATCCATGGCATTGGTGGTGCGTGAGTTAGAGGATATGTATGATGATAATATGGTGATGGTGGCGGCGGTGGAGCAATAGGTGGTGGATGAGCAATAACAGGTGCTGAATAATCATGAACAACACGTTGATGAATTTTCATTTTACATACAATATAAATAATAATATAAATGAAAGATACAATGCAAGCTACACCTATATTTAAAATAAGAATAAATATAATCAATAATATAGAAAATAAAATTGATTTTTTTTTTACCAGCACATCCAACTTGAATTTCAAGAAAAAGTTTTTTTGAATCATAACTTGAATAATTTCGAAATGTTGGAATCATTTGCATTAAATAATTTAATGATATTATTTGTGATTGTGTTGAACATTTTGGTGTTAAAAAACATGTATATGGATTTAGAATAAATATAATATCAAATGCAATTAAAATACCTAAAGTAAGTAATGTTATTAAATTCCAAATAAATGCACATGTTGATGAACCAATTGTTGTTATACAACATACTAAAATTATTTCAAAAAAAAAAAATCATCAATCATTTTATAAATATAAAATGGTCGAAGAAAAATTTAATAACAACGTATTTTTCTAGAATGTTAAACAATTCACTCAAATCTAAATAGTAATCTTAATAGTCAATGAAGATTTCAAATGCTAGAAGCTATTTTTTAAGAATGATATTTTAAAGAAAATAAAATGCAACGACCTCTCATTTTACTCTCTTTAAAATGGCATTTTTCAAAAAAATTGCTTCCGGAACTTGAAACCTACCACATCCGGGTTGTTTTTAGGAACCTTATCATCTAGTATGTAATATATTAGATAGAAAATTCCATTAGCTATTAAAATCACTATCTGGATTTGAGTTAATTGTTAAACTTTTTTTTTCTACTACTTTATTTTTTCGTTTCAAAATCTACCTGTAGCATAGATTACAATTACATTAATAAAAATTATAATTGATGCCCAAATACCACCAAAAATATTTGTATGCCAAAAATCCATTAAAATATTACAAGCTTCAGTTAGAAGAATTATCTAAACAATTCAGATAAGATATGAAATAAATAACGAGAAAATATAATTTACCAATCCAAGAAACATTTCAATACTTGCAATTGATCCAAGGAAACAACGTGGCCATGATCGTTTCCATGAAAGATTTCGTTCAAATTCAGCTTGAATAATAGGATCAATTGCCATATTTTCTTTTTTAATTAATTTATGAAACAAATTTGATTTTTCTTATGTTATATTTTACAATAATTTATCAATTATGTCGATCGAGACAAACACAGAGTTTAGACCAAATTTTCTTTTTTTTTTTTAGTCTTTTAAATCAAAAATGAAAAATACATAATTTGTAATGTATGAAAATAATTGGCGACATATTGATGAAGCAAAAAAGAAATATCTTTTCCTTGTCACTTAACTTTTTATATATATGTCGTAGGACAGCTTAAAATCGTCCTAGTTTACTTTGAAATAATTTTGATTTAAATTAGGACGATTTTAAACTGAACTAGTTCAGACGACAATGATTTTAATCTCAACTGAATTTTAATCTCTCCTACGACACATATGTTAACAAATATGAATTACATACCGATTGATTGAATTTCAAAATTCTCTTCTGGTTACTTATGAAAGTATAGCTCTTACTCTCTTTGCTTTTATACCTAATAAACTAATATGACCTTGTCATCAATGTCTGCTTTCTTTCTATTTTTTTTTTAGTTAAAAAAAAAGTAGACAGGAAGTATATCTTACGTTTAAGAAAAAGAGTATAAGTGTCGAAGTGTGAAGAACAAGATGTAGAAGGTGAAAGAGAAAAAAACGCGGAAACCAGAAAAAAAAAATAATTGATAAGATAAAAGATAGAATGAGCTCTGTCTCTTTTGACTACTGTTTCCCCGTTTAACATCTATGTTAACATTTTAGACTAGAAAAAGAAAGTTTCTCTTTTTTTTTCTTTCTTTTAGCTAAGCCTTTTCTACTGGATCTTAAAAAAAAAGGAAATTTTGTAATCATGGTAATAAGTATGGAGAAAAAGGAAAAGAAAAGTGAACATGGATTTTTCCAGATAAAATAAAGGTGAATTTTCACTCTTGAAGATTAAAATATTATTATTGTAGCATAATTTTTCCATTTTGAAAGTAGAAAAGCAAAAAAAAGACACTTTAAAATAATTACAGTTAAAACGATGTATACGAAAAAAAACGTTCGAATAGAATGATCTTGAAACAATAAAAACCCTATATTTTGATAATGTGT